ATAGATTTATAGTATGATTACTTAATTAATTATAACATTACATTATACTATTATAGTTAATCATATAATTAATATAACATTACATAATTAAATGATTACTTAATTGATTATGAGTTATGATATTATGTTTTAAACATTAGTAATTTACTAATTTAACACATACTTAATCAAATTATTATAACATTATATTATAAATTTACGGTATGATTATTTATTAATTATAACATTCAATTATAACAATATTCAATACTTAATTATGATTAACAATTCAAGTGTTGCTTAGATTACGTTATGAGTACATTGGATACAATGAATGAATAATGAAATTTGTTAGGGGTTATTTGTAAACTTAAGGTGTTTTTGTATTTTTTAATAATAGGGGGGTAATTGATTTTTTACAGGATACCCTGGAAAGGAACCGAACCTGCATTTTAGGTTCCGGTTCCTTGAATTGAAGAACCTGCACTGTGCGGTTCCGGTTTCGGTTCCTTTTTTGGGAACCTGCACTGTGCGTTCCGGTTCCGGTTCCCCCGAAAAATGCAGGGTACCGGAACCAATCACCCTAGTAAGATGTGTACACTCAACTTGGAATAGAAAAGCATTAGTTCTATTTGTCTTCAATTATTTTCTCTCTCTTTTAGTTTATTTTATATAATAATTGTAAGTATCAGGGTTTTTTTTTTTTTTTACATAATGCTAAAAAAAGATAAAGATAAATATTAATAATTTAACATTTTCTATTTATTTATTTAAATGTAAACCAACAATATTGTGGTTTATTCCCTCTTGCTATCAAAAATTAGTGTAATATTACACTGACAAATATTTTTTAATAATTCTCTCACAAACTGATATATCAACTCGCAATTAATTAGTTTGTATGAGACCCATTAACCAAACTAATTATGAGTTATCACTTTATATTTGAGCAAGGTTTTCTCCGTCTCTCTTTATTCTTTATTAAAATTAAAGTCTTTGCGCCACTGTTAATGCTATATCCATAACTAGAATGAGCAAAAAATATACACATAGGTTACGTGACTGTCTAAATTAACTGACAATGTCGTTATCATAGGCCTGCATACATTCCAACGCAGCCCATGTAGTCAAATTGTCAAATACAAACGGTCAAACCATCTGTCACCTTCCAGTTCCAAAACCGATTCTATGTAACGGATGAACAATACTCCTACACGTGGCGCCAATAACTATTGTACACTTACCCGTCACCACTCCACGATCAAACCCCGTATTTAACAACTCCCCACGAAAGCCCGCTAATTAGAAGCAACGCGTGACCGCCTTCTAACGACTACTACAAGCTTTGAAACCGAGAGCAGAGTCCAGCGACACGACGAAGCCAAGACTGAAACTCCGTTCAGTTACCACAGATCCGAAACAACCTTTGATTCCATCTCCTAGAATGTCGGAGAAGCTTTCAATCTCATCCACAATTCGACAACAGAATACGGGAGGTGACAATCTACATTTCTTCTTTTCTGTTCTGTTCTATCTACAAATTTTAATCTCCTCGATTTTTCCACGTTTACTTTAACCCTAATTTTTCGCTGTATCTTTGAATGAATAAACTTTGACAAATTCTAAATCCAACATTTGTTTGTTTTTCTTGTTTTGTTTTGGATAGTTTGTATGTTGTAACGTGTCATGTTAATCTTATGTTAGCTAACAAGTCTTGATGATAATTATTAGTTTTTTATTTTCATAATATGCTATTTTTATTTTTGGGCAAAGAAATTAGAGTTATTTCTAATTTTGTTTAAAGAGACAAATTTTATAACGGAAAGTAGGTTTAGTGCAATAGTGGTAGTTAGATCTTACTATGTAGTAAGGGATTTAGAGGAAAATTAAAGAGCTTGGCTGCTGTAGAATTGAAGCTGTTTGCGAAGCATGTTGTTGTCCTTTTTGAGTAGGCGCTCATTGGAGGTTGATTCCAGGTTACTTAAGTTTCCGTGCGGATTAATGTTTTCACATTGTCCATTTTGTAGTGATTTTGTTTTTTGTTTTTTGTTTTTTTTTTTTTATTTGAAGAATTGCTTGATGGTATTGTTGTTTGAAGTTAACGATTTAGAAATGGGATGGTGTTCTTTGTGTATTGGGATTGATATAGAAATTAATGTTGACAGGGACGCCTATGGATTCGCTCTGAGACCTCAGCATGTTCAAAGATATATAGAGCGCCAATATCTATCAGGTATTTTCCATTGAAGCTTTTGTTTTTATTTATTAGGTAACATTGGTGTTAGTGACCTTGATTAGAAATTTAATCCTAACAGACGGGGTGCATGTGTTAAGCTAGAGCGTAAAAATGAGTGCCCTTTAGAATTACTTTCTATGTGTTTAACTTAGGTCTACAGCTAATAAAATAATATATGGTTAAGTGAGGAATATTAGAAACTTGAAGAGTTAAGAGATGATGAGATGTATCATTGTTGTGTTTCAGCATCAGATATCCTTCAGAATATTGGAGCTTTAAATAGACAGTACTGTTGGGATTTTTTGTGAAGTTATTTCATCAAAACTAAATAACAGAGCAACAGAAGTACAACAGTGTTTTCTGTCCAGCTTTTGATACATGTATGGTATCAGAGAGAAGAGGAAAGATCGCAAAAATGGAAGAATTTCATTGAGCACCAAAAGCTTCTCAACAAAACTCTCCTGAGGAGAAATATAGGAGTCGCTGCATGCTGAAGCCGCTAAGTTGAATGAGGAGACAGTTTCCTGAAGAGTGAAGGGAGCAAAGCTGAAACTACTGAGCTGAACGAGACAACTGTGCCAGAGATAGACAACAAGGGAACAAGGCTGAAGCTACTAAGTTGATAGAGGACACATATCAAGGAGTGGAAGTGAAGCGGACAAGGTGAAGACAGGAAGTTGAAGAGGAGATTTTTCCAGAGAGAAGTAGGAGAGAGAACCAGTGTGAAAATACTGAGACTGTTTCAAGAGGGGCATAGAAGTAGACAATGCTCGGGCTGTCGAGTTGAAAGAAGAGACTGTGTCAAGAGGAGTGTAAGTAGATAATAAGGCTGGAGCTATTGACTTGAAAGTAGAGACTGTTTCAGAGAGGGGTGTGGAAGTAGACAAGGTGAAGCTACTCAGTGAAAGAAGAGACTGTTTCAAAGAGTAAGGAAGGGGATGATTCAGTGGGAACTCTGATTCGATGGTTCAACTAAACTTGACCCCAAAAGGAGCAACTTTCAAAAAACAAAGCCCCGTGAGGTCCAACATGGGCTCGGATTAGACCATCCCTATATTCCATTGAGAGTATGATAGTTTTCGTGTGAAGAGGAGAAAGGCATGAGAGGTGAGCAGATAACCAAAAGTGAAGCCATCTTCCATCAATAGATGAAGCAGGATCTTTGGAAGAGGAATCTGAAGAGGGCATAGGAAAAATTATGTGTTACTGAGACGCCGAATGAGACTTAAGTGCCTGCTATGAAAAAAGTCTCCACAAAATGATGTCTCACCAGAGCCATACTTTCCTGGAAAGAGGAACTGGAGTGCCTTGTTCGTGGGGGAGTGCCGAAGGATCTCAGGGGAGAGGTGAGGTTGAAAGTGTTCAGTTTCTTGAAATTAATATTTTTATGTTAGGGAAAACATCACTTACTGAGTTTTGCCAATCAGTATGGCAGGCATTTGTTGGTGTTAAGGCGCGACGGTGGAGAGATATTACGAGGATCTGCTGGCTCAGTAACCAATGCCGTGAAAGCAAAGAGCATGATAATACATCAGGTGTACCCAAGAAATGGAAAGGCAGATTGAGAAGGTCATAGACTCATGCGCCTTGGACTTTATCGTTCAATCTTTTCAATTTGTACGTGCTACTTCTTTTGCTTTGTATTGTAAACCAGATTTCTCGGTGGACTTATATTTTACATTGACTTTACAGGACATACCACGGACTTTTCCAGGCCATCCTGCTTTGAATGAGAACGGTAGGGATTCCTTGACGTTTACTTTTAGCATATGCTCGACATAATCCTTCTGTTGGGTACTGCCAGGTAAATGGAGTCCTTTTATTTTTAATTTTTGCTGTATATGTGATTCTGCCGATGCTTCTTTTCATTGCTACTTCTAATGGTATTTAGAACTGTATCTTGTAACTTCTCATGGTATTTGGAACAAAGCTAAATGTCATGAAGAATGTAAACATCTAAGTAGAAATACTTACTGCTGTTTTGGTGGCACATGGTTGGTTTTGAAAGAGCATTAAGGTGTTTTCAAAGTTTTGGACCTATTAGAACTCATTTTGCTCAAATTAAACTTTGCTAGGAGTAGCTATTGAGCAGATTATCAAACCTTTTTTTCTTAAGGTCCAGTGATTATCAACTTTTCTCTGAGATATTTTCATCTTGCTACATTTTGGGTTCTTGGTATAAGTTTTGTATTCTGTTAATCTGTCAAACTGTAACCTTGATTTTGTCTCTCCCCAAATGTATCACTACCTCTCAAAGCATGTACATTTCTTCTGCTATCTTTAATTTCCACCGTCACTCTTTTTTCACTCAATTATGTGATAATCTTCTGGCTGATGTGATAATATTTTTGATAATTTTATTTACCATGTTCTGAAACACATGCAGCAATGAATTTCTTTGCTGGCATATTGCTACTTCTGATGCCAGAGGAGAATGCATTTTGGTAGGTTTTGGAAGCTTCTCCTGTCAAATCCTTTTTCTTCTGCCCCCTCAAACAAGCGCACACACGATGTTCTCTGAATTTCTGAATGAGCATTATCTAAAATCAGAGCATATATTAGATATGGCTCTCTCCCTCTCTCTTTGTTGCTTGTGGTAATACAATTTTTTTTTTTTTTTTTTTTTTTTTTTTTTTTTGGAAACAATTGATTTCAGAAAATAGTAAACAAATAGTCTTCTCCTTTTAGTAATTTCTAGGTATGATTTTTTTTTTATCCTTTATCCACCGTATGATGTTCCAAATTAGCTTACTGGATTTGTTTTTTTTTTTATGAAAATTTTCAGGACCTTTGTCGGCATTATTGACGATTATTTTGATGGGTACTATACAGAAGAAATGATTGAATCTCAGGTGTTATTCCATTATTCTGAATTCCTTTAGCAAAATTTTCAAGGTTTAGCATTATGTTCCATGTTCATTTGGATGCTAATAGGTCTTGTACTTAATGAGAACGTTGAACAGTAATCTAATCTCTGGTGAAACATTTTTGTGTGCTACTAGGTGGACCAACTTGTTTTTGAGGAGCTGATCCGCGAAAGATTGCCTAGATTGGGTTTGTTTGCTTTAGATTGCATTTGCTCTATTAATTTTCATCTTTTTATGATTGTTTCCGATACATGAAGCAGTCCGGGTAACTTTTTCTATTCCATTTATTCTTATGGTGCAGTTAATCATCTGGATTACTTGGGAGTGCAGGTGACATGGATCTCTGGACCTTGGTTCCTTTCCATTTTTGTGAATATGCTTCCTTGGGAAAGTGGTGAGATCTATGTGATGTACCAAAAATTTCAACTAATATGAAATTAAAATTGAAAACTGAGTTTTCTGTATTTTGGTCATTTAGTTGTATTCTATCCTAGTGTTATAGGACTGGATTAAAATTACTTTCTGAATGGATTCCTTTATCTTCAGTTCTTCGAGTTTGGGATGTTCTTCTTTATGAAGGAAATCGTGTTATGCTATTCCGGACAGCCCTTGCATTGATGGAGTTATTTGGTAATGAGATATTATAATTTTGTCTGATGTTGGTGTACTGTTAAATGTGTGTGATTACTTGCTTTTAATTACTCTTTTATGGTATTCTCGGCCATATAATTTTGTCATGTGAATTTCCTGTAGGTCCTGCATTAGTTACAACTAAAGATGCCGGGGATGCCATTACTTTGTTGCAATCCCTAGCTGGATCAACATTTGATAGCAGCCAGCTTGTTTTTACTGCTTGCATGGGCTATTTGACAGTGACTGAAGCCAAATTGCAAGAGTTGAGAGAAAAGCATAGACCTGCTGTATTAGTGGTAGTAGAGGAAAGATCAAAAGGGGGTCAGGTTTGGAAGGATTCAAAGGGGCTTGCATTGAAGCTGTATAGTTTTAAGCATGACCGTGAATCAGTTGTCGAAGAAAATAAGACCATTGAAGAGTTAGGTGGTGTACTTGCAGGTAGAGATATTTCTCATTCGGAGCCTCCTTCATCAAATGTAGATGATTTGCATGGTGACACAACGATCTACTCTGAAGTAGATTCACTACCAGATCTTCAAGAACAGGTGGCTCTCTTCTTTTCTCTTCCCCCACCCACATATGCACATTAGTACCATCTTTCTGAAGCTTGTTCTTTCACCTTGTTAATTTTGACTTAGTTCTGGTTGTAACTGACTGCTCTTCTTGGCGATGTGCTCAGACATGTTAACCACTTCATTTCTGAGAATCACAATGCTTCAGCATAATACTATGGCATGGAAAGAAATTGTGCTAGAGGCTACAAAATCATTACTGACTGATATTAATTCTCCTCAAGATGTTGCAAAATATGAAAATTTTCAGTTGGAGCATGTCAACTAGAAGCTGTGATGTGTCTTTTGATATAGTTTTCCAATGTTTTTGTAGTTTTATTATCACAATATCAAAAATCACATTGCATTTTGGAGGAAAATTATTGTCTTGTATACCATAGTTCAGTAAGACTGACTAAAAGTTACTAGTTACAAAAGTTAGTCAATGTCATCTAGTAATTAATTATTAATCTATAATTAGTCAAAAACATGACTGATTCTACAACTCATTTTAAATTTTAACATTAATGGTTTTTGTGCAGGTGGTTTGGTTGAAAGTGGAGTTGTGCAGGGTGCTGGAGGAGAAAAGATCTGCTGTACTAAGGTTAGTACAATCTATAGTCTATTTTTTTAGACAAAAATCCTTTACATTCCTAGCATGTTCATTGAGTTCTAAACTGGGGGCTATTTCAAACTCTACAACCTTCCTAGTCAAGAAACTCGTGGGATATAATGTCCCAAGTAGGTGGCCCAAGCGGATTTGAATCTTTGATCTCTTAGTTGAAACCAAGAGTTTTTACCACAAAATAGGTTCTATAGTGTGCTTTCTGCGTCCTTTTTTTCCCTTTTATTGTGGATCTATAGCAGATTACTCTTTTGACAAGAAAAACAAGCTCTCACCTTTCAGTTGCTTTAGGGGGCTTAACCATTGCTGTTGGTTGCCTGCCATGTGCTATCTAATTACTTCATTCAATCTGCAAATACTATTATTCATATTTATGTATTTAGAGTACTTAATTGTCCAGTACAAAGCTACTTAGTGGGTTCAAATTCCTTGGACCATTGGTCTCTCTCTATTTCTCTGTATCCTCTTCCTCTTTCTTTCTCTCCTAGGAAGTAATGATTTATTTAGAAGCCTAGAGAAGGATGCTATTACTCTTGTTTACTCAATGTTTGTTTTAGGCCTTTCTAAATATGAAATTTCATGTAGTCATCATTCTGTATCCAGTTCTCCATCTATTTGAAGAGTTACTTCAGTGAGAACTATTTGTTCTTAGATCAGGAAATTTATTTGATCCTGTAGGTGGCGTTGATTTTGAAACAAACAATGGCTCCTCAAATTACAAATACAGTGGTCATTATCATGAATTATTTTGATGCTATTAATATGCCTGTCAATATGTGTGGTATTTGTTATTTTTCAGAGCTGAAGAGCTGGAGACAGCACTTATTGAGATGGTCAAACAAGACAATCAACGTGAATTGTGTGCAAGGGTATGTCCAAGGTTGATGCGCGCGAATGTTGTTTCTCTATTATGTCTGCCCATTGTGATAATGAAAATGTTTCATAATACTATTTAGGACAAACATGCAACACGCTTCTCTCTCTCTCTTTCATTTTATATATTGAATTGGAAATGGTTGTCTTGCTTTTAAAATTTATTGGATTCATTGTTACACTACGTATGTTGATGTAGTGGACTAGATGAATACCCTCAATTGAAACAATTTTTTTAATCAGTGAAAGCGTTATTTAAGATAATGTGCAATTTTTCTTTTTCCGTTTCTCCTTTATGCATATGCCTGTTCGATATTTTTATCAATTCCTTAAAAGAATTGCATGCCTCATAATTTCCAACGATTGATAATTTCATCTTGAACTTTTGAAGCACAAATGCTCTAGAAACTATGTGTCAATTGATTTACATTTATAAAAATGCACTCAAATCATATGTTTTAATCTCCAATCAATTAGTTGAGATGCTAGTGATAAAGATGATAATTAAAGGCTTTATGCCAGTGAACTCATTAAACAACACCCCTACACAGATTCTTTTCGTTTTCTCCTTTGGCTAAGAGCTGCCTAAATCACTAAGAAAAATAATTCTAGTCTTCCTTTGTGAGCTCCAAGTCACTCGACTTGCTCGGTTGATTTAAAAACTCATTTACAATGCTGCAGATTGAGCTGTTGGAGCAAGAGGTGGCTGGGCTACAGCAATCTCTAGATGACAAGAGAGAACAAGAATCTGCAATGCTTCAGGTTTGGACTTATTTTCTGCTATCTCCGATATTACTTTCTGAAAATGATCATTCTTATTCATGTTATGGGCCCTGTAGTTATCTGTAGATTGCTCTTATGTGCTGTAGGTCCTTCTGCGGGTAGAGCAAGAGCAAAGAATAACTGAAGATGCTCGCAGAAATGCAGAGCAAGATGCAGCCGCTCAGAGATATGCAGTTAACGTGCTTCAGGTACTTTTAGCCTTTTTCATATCCTGGTTTTTCTCACAAAGTAACATAAATCCTATCAAGTTATTAGATTTATAGAGAGGCATTTTGATTGATCACTTTATCTTGTTAAGCTCATTTCATACTGCACAACGTCTTGCTACTTATAATGTGTAAGTTTATCTGATGTCTCATGAAGTAGTATGAAGTGTCGGGACTTGAGAAACATCAGTGGAAAATTTCCAAAGTACATTGAAGAGATTCCATGAAGCTCAAATTTGATACTATTATTATTTTATTGCTCTCTGTTTAGAGATGAGAAATGTTTGTCAATCTGCAGGCTTAACTACTCTCATGTATGCTTTGATATTGATGAAAACCATATAGTTCTCTTTAATTTGATTTAAATCCACATAGCTTGGATTCCTTGGCTGGATTTTTGAATTGCAGTATTTTATTTCCATTATTTTCTCCTCTCAACCAAAGATATATGCAGGAAAAATATGAGAAGGCTATGGCTTCGGTTGCTCAGATGGAGAAGAGGGTGGTTATGGCAGAATCAATGCTAGAGGCTACCTTGCAATATGAATCTGGCCAAGCTAAAGCAGTATCTTCTCCAGGGTATATGAGAAACTTTTTTCACATCATATATGTTTTATCTCTTCAATTCCATGGTTTAGATAATTGGCCTGACCAACTAATTCTGCTCAAAAAGCTTATGGAGTGACATATATAAACTATTATAACTGTTTTTTTTTTTCTTTTTTAAATTAGTTTAAAACCTATCCGGTTAATAGTCAATAAGAGGTGGAAATTGAATATGTTGATAATCATTAAGGGTGTCTTTAAAAAAATTTGGACAACCAAGTCTACCAGCAGTGGCCTTGATTACCAACAATAGAATTAAAGTAGATGGTCAGTGTTTCACATCTGTTTAAAATGCCGAATCCTCCATTCTGTACAGTAATTTCCTTGAACCACCTAAAATGTAAGAATGTTGTCACCTTTTTAGCATAGTGGAAACAGATCCCACAACATTTGAGAATGACTCTACCATCATGCTGCTCAAGAGAACCTTCAAATTAGGTTCTCAAACATGGATGAAATTCAATTGTTTTACTTCTCTCTCTCTCTCTGTCTTTTCGGTTTGGTCACTTTCAAGGAAGGACGGTTGTCTACTTTCTTTCTTCTAGAAGGGAATCAGAGCACTGTGACCCTGCATCATGATAAGTCTGTAAAGCTCCACAAACATTTTCTTAGCACCACGTATCCTCTCATTTCATTCACCCTTAACCTTGAAGAAGTGTAACATTGTAATTTTTCATCTCATTCATTCCTCTCTCCTAATCACAAGCCAACATTATGCATGGGGGGGGTGTATCATGTACGTGCTGTGTTGTATAAATGATGTCAACATTGATGTTTATGTACCACTGGCCTAATGCTCATGGATAAAAGTGGGGCCTTATTATTGTACTGTGCTTTTTAGGCCTTTGAAAAACCATGGAGCCCCAGTTGACAGCCCCAAAAGAAAGATAGGTCTATTTGGACTTGGTTGGCCCGACAGAAACAAGGTACACCTGCTTACTTGTACCTGCTTAATATTGGTCAATTCATATGTTGAAAAAGGAGTGTAATTGGGTTTAAAATAAAGATGTTCCGGGATCTGCTTGAAATGAATCACCACATTATACAGTTTGATTGCTGTTTTTATTTTTCTCGTCAATTAGTTCTGAAAGGCAATATACAAGTTATTAATCCGAGTTTCCATGATGCTTGCACCTATACTTCTGTGCTTTCTGTTATCTTTGTCAGTTTCTAAAATTGCATGTGACAGGGAAGGACAAATAATGGGGAGGAGTCCAGCAACAACAATCCACCTACAAGAGATTAAACTGAACCACTCTGCAAAAAGAAGCTAATTCCCAGACCTTAATGAGAATTCAGATGATTAATAGCTTCACTGCCATTACATTCTTGTAAGTTATGGCCTGCAATCTAAGACCTCACTGCCCTGATATTGTTGTGGTTAATTACTTCCCTAAGCTCCCTTGTAGCAATTACACTAGTGGGTAAGGACGTCGAGCCATATTGCTCCTGTATTTACGTCAGTTATATTTTTCCTCTCTAGACAGAGCTGTAAATTATCATTGTTTCAAACAATCAAAGAGGGTTTTTAAAAAAAAACCAGTGATCTCCATTTTCAACAAATTGAGTTCACAGTTCTGTATAAAATGATTTTTTACAGAGCACGTAGCCATGATAGGAAATGTTTTTCGTTAATTCTAATTCTACTGCAATATTCACATGGGTTTCAATTTTTTATGCAAGATTATGTCAATTGATCGATTTTAACTTGAAATAAACTAGAGAATCGTCTAGGACTAGAATTTTAATAAGGCTGAAAACACTCGAGACTGATCAAAATGGGGATTCAAGAAATCAATGAAAACCTCCTTATCTGAAAAAAAAAGAAAAATCCAAGTTGGGTTTACATGTATATTCTGAAAAAGGAGGTGCAAATATTCTCCAATAACAAAAATATAACAGTAAAATTAATAAAAAACACACCTCTTATTTGGCTTTATACAAAATTTGATAAAATCTTCTTAATGCAGCCATAAAGCGTTGACACCAAAATCCTTAGCCTTGTGACTCTTTACGTTCAAGAACACAAAAATTCTTGAAGCATCAATCAGTCTTCCCAAAGCAATTTCCATGGCAGGCATGAAAGTAGCCTAATCAATATTAGAAATGCACGCAACTTTTCACCAATTACACGACCAATCTTAACTTAATCTTCTGGTTCGATCTCTTTCAGATCCGCTACCACCACTGTGCTTTTTATCTCTGTCTCTCTTTGTTCTGGGAGGGGTAACAGGGGCCAGGCGGGGGCTTCTGACCATCTGTGTGTCAGGGTCATATTTTTGAGAAGCAAGGTAAGTCAAAGCAGTGACAACATCAGCAATAACCGGTCGCATATCGGGCTGCTCATGGACACACATTGCCGCAACAGCAAGAGCTTGGTATAAGCCCCTTGAAGGAAATTGACCTTGGAGCTCTGGATCAGCAATATGTGAGAATTTTGTTCGATCTTTGAACAAGGGTCTTGCCTGCCATGAAGTGAAGATTAAAGTTAAATTTGCATAACTTATACAAAGCTAATACTCCTCATCAAAATTTCTTTTGTTATTGCTCGCCATCTATCAGATACTAGTCATGGTTTAGAATAAGGAATTTTACCGTTTATATCTAATATAATTCATTTTCGGAGAAACAGCCAACACTAAATATGAAACAAAGTTTCATCTTATGAATCAATATCCTGTTTCTGCTTCTTACCCATGCAACCAGATTCTGTTCTGCTGCAGCTTTTGAAGCGTCAATTGCTTTCCTGCCAGTAATGATTTCCAGAAGAACAACTCCAAAGCTATACACATCTGATTTTAAAGTCAGTTGACCAGTCATTGCATACTCTGGAGCGCAGTATCCGTAGGTGCCCATAACCCTGGTAGAGACATGGGTGTTATCTCCAACAGGCCCGAGTTTAGCCAAGCCAAAATCAGAGAGCTTTGGATGATATCCTTCGCCAAGCAAAATATTTGAGCATTTTAAATCTCGATATATAACAGGGGGATTAGCTGTGTCATGTAAATACTCTAACCCCCTCGCTGCTCCAGCAGCTATTTTCATTCTTGTATTCCAATCAAGTGGTTTCTTACCAGGTGAAATATCTGCAGAATAGCACAAGAGAACTGAGGTCAAAGCAAGAGAAAGACAAAAAAGTTAAAATAGTGATTATGTGTGGATATCTTAATATTTTGTACCTTGTAAGTGGTCTTCCAAAGATCCTAAAGGCATATATTCATAAACCAAAAGCCTTTGATCTCCATCAGCACAATAACCAATTAGATTAACCAAGTTAGGGTGGTGAAGTAAACTTAACATCAATACTTCAACAAGGAATTCTCTGTTACCCTGCAACCCATTACGATTAAGTTGCTTGATAGCTACAACCTACACCACACACAATAAGAAGTTTCAGAGTGTCAACTTACAGCATATCCACAATCCAGAAAATTACAATGGTGCAGAAACCACAGATTTTAGCAGAAGAAATAAACACATGTGATAATTTTTTAAGCAGTTCACAATTATCTACACTTTTCTAGTAACAGATCCAAAATTTCAAAGTTGACAAACCTGACTAGTACTTTCTAAATGCCCTTTATACACTCTACCAAAACCTCCCTCACCCAAGAGACATTCTGCTCTAAAGTTTTTAGTTGCAGTTGCCAACTCGCGGAATGTAAGTGTCTGGGCTGCAATGTGGTCGGACCCTCCATTTTGAGATGCCTCCTTAACACTCCAGGAGGAATCTGTCTTCAATTTCTCTGAGAACAAATATAAAAGGAATAAATATTATGCCAAGAGCTGAAGCCAAGAAAGATTTAATTCCCACTACAAATGCAACAAAACAGAATCATCGGCAGCTAAATAAAAAACAAAAAAAGCCAAAGACAAGCACCAAAAAGAAAACAAAATTTATATGCATCAATTCCCCATTTGTTAGCTAGAATACTCATTAATGTCTACCTGAAACCCTATGATGCAGTTTCAGAATTCAACCCATTTACAATATATATAAGTAGTGACTAACTAAGATATACTTGATTTATCACTTTAGAATTCGAATCAAGAGATTAGATTCATCAATACTATTAGGGCATAGAAAAGAAAAGATAAGAATCCAGCAACTAAATGACTTCACCTCTAATCTTTAATAACATTAATATGATTGCATAGAAGTTTATTAGCTAGAAATTATAAAACCTAAGAACACTATCAATAGTCCCTACAAACACAGACTAACACAAGTGAATAATTAATAATAAATCAATTAAAAAAATTGCCAAATTATAATCTTTTCCATGCATAACATAATACATCTGAATTACTAGTTTCTGATCAATATAAAACAAACCCATATAAAGTTATACAACAAATAACCCAAAAAAGAGAAAAAAAGACTCAAATAAAATCTTAAACAAAAACAACCCAATGAATCAAATAAAGCATAAAGACAAAAGGGTCACACTGCTTTGAACAAGAACTAAACTTTGAACTCTTTTCGAACTAAATTTATACATACCAGTAACAGAACTGATCCGATCAACAGGCTTCTGGTTCATCTTCATTTTGTTCTTGGCCTTGGCTTTGGCTTTCTTGTTTGAATTACCGGAACAAGGCAGCCATCCCATGTTTATTTTACTGGTTTTATCTTGTTTATTTTTTGGAGATATCTAAAGGGTGTTGAGTCTCTAACTATGCAGACAAAGACGAAGAAGAAGAAGAAGAAGGAATGAATGAATAATTGAAAGACAAAAGAAATTGTAGACACAAGAGATAGAGAGAGCTTGAAATGGAAAGAGCCACCCAACTCGCTCTCCCCTATATACGTTTTATATAACGTTTACTTTTGTTTCACTTTCAAAAATTCGTGATTGGCACAAACGTCGCCCTTTTGGACCATCTTTTGCAACCAAACGGCGCCGTTTGATTCGTTTAGAAATTTTTTTTATCATATACCATCTTTTTAAAATATTCTCTTGAAAAAAAGCTTTTCTAAATTAAATAAAATGATTGAGAAATGGTCAAGTCTCATAAGTCTTTTTAGTAGAAACTAGAAAGCCTTAAATATTTTCTTAAAATTATGAAAAAAATCCTAAAAATATTAAAAAAATAATACTTTTTTGGAAAAACAGTTGATTTGTGGGATAAACTTTAAAAAATAAAAACTTATGTGAAATCATTAATTAGGCAAACCATCAAATCCGGTTGGACTTTTCTCAAAAGGTCCTCTCCATCCAGTGGAAAAAAATAAAAGGAGGACCCCATCTCCCAAAAGTTGACTGCTTCAACTGTTCTTTTCCCCCCTTCTCACTTAATTTATATTTTCCCCTTCACAAATCATACCTGCCCCGCCATTTTCTTCCGTTTGTCCTTTTCTTCTTCTTGCAACCCCTCCAACTATTTCATATAATGTTACTGAAACTGGCAACAGTGCCACTAATTTTTTTTTTAATCAAGGTGATTTTAAGGTTTAAACCTAAAAATTCAAAAAAAAAAGAGCAAACCTTTTTTACTGGTCTGGCCAACCCTTTAGGGTTTACTACCACCATTTTCCCCTATGCTCTAGATTCTATGTTTCAAATTGGTTTATTTCATTTTTTTTTTTCTCTTTAATGTCGGTAATAATTAGGGAGAGTTTGCTACTAGTTAAAGTGACAAGACCAAGACATAGTAGACTGAAATCAAAGGGTGATTGCATAGTTCTCTCTTCACTCCAGTTAGAGGCAATTTTTGTAATATGTTGTATAACTCTTTTAAGTTGATAGTCATAAAATAATGAAGGAAGCAACAGGGTTTCAAATTTTTTGTATTGATATTACTGAGAATCAGGTAATTATTAAGTATAAATTATTGAGTCAATGAAGTTATCTGAAAGACTTGGTCAAGATATTTCCCAGACACAATCCAGAATAAGGTCGAGTTCAAGGGTCCACAATTGGGATAAACATTTGGCTTATAACCAATACATTTGAAAGTAAATTCTTAGGTTAATTTCTTTGTCATGATATCTTCCAAATGGGGACCTTTAACAGCCGTTCATTATAATTTTCCCTTTTTTTATTTCCAGCATTCAAAGTTTTCAGACCAAAACATACTTCAATATTCTTGTCGGATTACATGAAAGCGGCATAAAAGTTGTCATTACTATAATATAATCGGTCATTTTTTTAATTATTCCAGGCATCAAGTCTTTCAACAGGACTTTCTGTAAACAATATTTTTTTGGTTGTCTAAGTACAGGCAGTGTAGCATTAGCCACATTACATCATAATATTTCACATATTAATGGAGGGTTTGGTGGCATAATTATCCAGGACTCAATATTTGAAGTGAAATCTGAAGATACTGTGCAGCATGAAATCTAGCTTTTTCTTGCAGGGTAAAACATCAAATAAGAAACCCCTACTGCACATGAAATTAGATTGTTTTAACTTGTGCCAGGATGATTGATTATGGTAAACAAAACAAAAGGGTATTATTGGAGTTTGGCGTAGGCTCAGAAGTTGAAAGCTTCTCGGCATCTTTATCGGGCCTGCAGATGTTACCAATGTGAATGAATTCCTCAACATGATGGTGGCTATTCTTCGATGTTTTGCATCCCTNAAATCTAGCTTTTTCTTGCAGGGTAAAACATCAAATAAGAAACCCCTACTGCACATGAAATTAGATTGTTTTAACTTGTGCCAGGATGATTGATTATGGTAAACAATACAAAAGGGTATTATTGGAGTTTGGCGTAGGCTCAGAAGTTGAAAGCTTCTCGGCATCTTTATCCGGCCTGCAGAGGTTACCAATGTGAATGAATTCCTCTTCGCAAAGAAGGCATCACCTCAACATGATGGTGGCTATTCTTCGATGTTTTGCATCCCTGCATGTGAATCACATGCAAAGTAACACTCCCCCATTCTTTACCACAAGCTCAACGTACATACAACTTTGAAAGCAACTAGTTGGGAACATAGAAAATTTTGGAAGTTATCTCTTCCAATGAGAAGCATAATTTTCAAACCACGAGGTGAGAACGATATAACAAAAGCTTTTATGTAGAGCCCTACCAAGTCCATGATTCGATATATACGCTGGTTGACTTTAATTCTTGGCCAAGTAATCTGTAAGTAGAGCTTATTAGCTGCCTGCAAAAGCTATGATACGTCCGGGAAATAGGAAGAGATTAATACAGCGTATTGATATATATATTCGGATGAGGCAAGACGGGTTTAATTATTATATGAAGTGGAAAATAAATTAAAAACTGTACTCTAAGCCAGAGGCCTGCAAATGACAGGAAAAAAAGGTTAAAGGACAACTATATATGTCAGCTGCCCAATATCTTGAATTACCCACATATAACTTTCTTCATCAGAAGTCTAATCGGGAACTCACAGGAGGACTATATGGATGATGCAACAAATCAGCCATGACAGACTTCAGAACTGTTACACGCATCTGGTTCCGATACCTTTGAACTCTTTCCAACATGATTTGTCAGATCAAATGCCTTCTTGATATGGTTTCCTTCCACGGTTGCAATCATGGCTTATCTTTACCAGTAGCAGCCGGTGAATCTGATTCAGTGGCCACTGGATTTGTGTTTCTTAGAGGCATATCATGATTATGCTTTCCCTCATATGTAGTAATGAAAGCTCTTGGATCATCTGATGCTCGTTCCACATGCTTCCGCACATTGCACTTAAGATTTGTACATCTGTAGTAACTCCTGCAATATCAAAACTAGCTGTGACTATATCTGGGGAAAGGAAAGTATTCACCACCAAAGAAATATACTGGACCAATTCTAGGGTCTGTGACTGTAACAGTCACTGAAAATGAGTTAGTTCCTATATCATGGAAGATCACCCATATTTGGAAACCTAAAGAGAGGTCAATGCGATTTTTTGAAAGCTCATGGATAGACATGCCAGTTTAAGAGGGGGAAGGTGGGAATTGGCAAGTCTAGCAGAAGAACAATTGCATCTTTCCACAACTGCCCAGAAATTTATATATCAGAAATGACCTAATTCTCAAGATAATGTACTCAGAACTCACAAACTATATATGTAGCAACAAGAGTATATTAATGAACAACAAAACTCATAAAACAGTGATGGAGTCTCAACCTGGGATAAGGATTTCCCTTCACAACCTTCTGGCCGTATTTTCTCCAGCGAAAGCCATCACTCAAAATCTCAGAATCTGTGGAACTTTGCACCACAATGCGGGGCTCTTGTACGCCCTCCTCTGAAATGCCAGCTTCATTAGACTGATTCTCACATTTTCTGGCAAAAACATATCATAATTAGCCATATATCATTAAATCTCATTTTAGATAAATGGAATGATCAGAATTGCAATTTGCAATTTGTGCAGGATATATCAAAGCTTACTGATACAGCGAAAGACTACATGTAGAAAAGAACAATATAAATGAGAATAAAACTAACTTCTGTTATTTTTCTAATAAGCAGTAAAATCAACTTAATAATACGCTAAATATTTTTTTCAAACTATAGTTAGCTCCTTTAAGTCTAAACTTCTGTTTCCTACCTTTTCTTATTTCTGGGTTCATCATCCTCTCCATCCAATCCCTTCTTTCCTTCATCACATTCCCCACTAAGGCCACAAGAATTATCAGAGGTTCCACCAACTGCATTGTTCGCTGTAGGCACAATAGGCTCATACGGTAGAGGAGCTTTGCCTTGATAAGTCGAATGTGCCAATAAACCTACTTCATTCTGATTTTCTACTCTACCTTCTGAACCTTCATTTCTTTCATTCAGATTAGTATTCCATACAGGATTGTTAGCATCTTGACCAGTGCCATCAGATACTAATCCTAGTCCTTGTGTCCCTGATGAGCTCCGCTTAGGGAGCTGAGGCTTTAAATGATTGTGTTCACCCTTGTAGACAATTTCAGCAATTTGCCCATCAAATGACCTCTCAACCTTCTTTTTCACAGGACAGTTTGGGTGCGTGCACTTGTAATAACTTCGTGGGTACTCACTTCCTTTGACTTGCTTTTGCCCATATTTCCTCCAGTTATAGCCATCATATGAAGGTCGATCCCCAGCTATGGCTGGTAAGGCTTTTGGATCCTCCTCCAAGTTCTGAGATGCTATCTTTGAGGATTCAATTGTTTGATCTGCTTCATTACGCAGTGGCACAATCAGGTTAAGGTTTGAGTTAACTTGGGCTCTAAAATTTTGTTTATCTTGACTTTGATGTTGAACACGAGCCTCAACTGATTGCTGTGTTTGTTGACGGCTAGTATTATTAAAGTTTCCCTGGTCAAAACAAAACACAAAAGATTATACTCACACTTCATCATCTCAAAAAAAAAAAAAAAAAAAAAAAAAAAAAAAAAAAAAAAAGGTTTTATAAAGATTGTAGAATTACAACACAAAAAATAATTACCGGCCTTTAATGGACCATCTAGCATGCAGGAAGAAATTAATAAAGAAAGGTATGTCCATCCATTTTACAAGAACACAGAAATTCAATACTGACCATATTAGCCAAGAGAGAAACAGTTGCCTTTGATACAAGCTTCGCCAGTGGCTTATAAACCACAGTGGGTGGTGTACTATCTGATTTTGAAGCTTTGTCGGATGAATTACAAATTGCTGTTCTAGACTGTTCAGCCTGATTTGGTGGAACACGATTCACCACTGGCTTAAACCTCACTGTCTTTGGTCTAATGGCAACAACTGCAGTTTCAGGGCATACAGTAGGTGGTGCCGCATTTATGGCACCTGCTAGGAGCTCTGAGAAAGGCCCAAAAGTGGAACAAGTAGGCCTTGAAGGTACTGGTTTAGCTATAACAACTCTATCTGCTTCTTTGATCTCCATTTTCAATCAAATATGAAATACCAATTACAGTCTAGTGGTGTATCATATGGCAGAGTAGAAAGGACAACTTGGAGTTCTGATCACCTCACTCCCTGAATTCTCAAGTATCCAGACAGCAGCAAAAAATTACAGTCTTTGTTCAGAGATAATTTTACTGAGAAGTATGATCAGTAGACAATAGTTTCTCACTTTGGTTGTCAACTCCAGCTGTGGCTAGAGTACTTCTTTAAACCTGCATTGAAATTGAGTTATTCATAAACTATATAACTGAAGAGTGAAATTTACGAGATAACATTAAAGAAAAATCTGAAGTGTTAATTTATAAATAAATTTACCTTATCCTTTCACTACCCTTTCTAAATAACATTCTTTTCTCTCAGGATTTAATTTTAAATGAATCTTGGTTATTAATTCCTCATTTCCATCATTTATGCATTACCTCAAGGAATAATAGTACACCACCAAACAACAAATGCCCTCATATGCCACTAAAAATACTCTATTGCCTGAATTTGGAACTATAGGCCAACTGCCCAAGGGAAACCCCTCTGCTGTCAGGTTTTTGTAATATTGCAGAGAAGAAGGGAAGCAAACAGACAGAAAGCCATTCAAACAACTTGCAGCATTAGAAGTCATATACTTTCTTTTTAGACGACAGTAAAATAATTTTCCCAATGTTAAAGTTTTCAATTCCTGGATTTACTTTTCCACTTACTAACTAAGCAATTTTATTAGGGGAAAAAAAAAATTTAATGCACTGCATAGAAACAACAACAATTGCAGAACACCATATTGATAAGAGGCACATCAATGAATGCATATCCAACAGATTTCCTGAAATCTTATCTTGGCATTCTGCATAATAACTACTGGATCCTCAACCACACATGCCCTTCTTTGATGATTATTGTTAAACTAACTTCCCCAGTTACTGCTCTGCTATAAATCAACTGGCCAGTACCCAAATTTTTCATAGACAATAGACATAATGATGATTTTCTGCTTCCTAATGTAATCAGCAAACTGGCCAATGCAATCACTGGTTCACCATAACCTCAAAGTTTTTTTAAAAAAGCTTATGTCCTAAACTTGCAATAATCCTTTTAGTTCCTTCTAATTCCCAATATACATAAAGGTTGGTCAGCACTAGAAGAATACAAGTATTGGAGAAACTAGCACAATTTTCCACTGAAAATTCACATCTAATAAACCTTATGGTCATAAATCAATTTGCAACATCTCCCCAAGTTTAACAGGATACAAGAACTACCACGAATCATCTCAAATGGATCATTTTCGATCTAAAACTTGAATTGACCACAGATAAACTACAGAGAGAAAAAAACAAAAGTTATAAGAAAATTAACTTATCTTAAAAAAATATTAAAAACAATATATATCACAGAATCACCCACCAAATCTTCTGCTATTTATATGTCTTATCTAAAAATAAATAAATAAAGAGAGAGCACCAAGATTGTGAAGAAGGCATAGAACTTAAAAGTTGCAATATTTAAAACGAAACCGAAAGAAAAAGCATAACCAAGCCCTAGAAACACTAAAAACAGTAGCCATCTAAAGTACATAGAAACATCTACTAAAAAAATCCCAAGCAGCATTTAGCTTGAAGAAACAGAAAAATGAAGAAAGAAGAAAGAAGAAAGGAAGTGAAAACTAACCAGAATGTTTATGACTAACAAACTAAGAAGCTACTTTGCTTCTATGAAATCTCATACTTTTCTCATTTTCTTTAATCACTTTAACCTGCACTAGAGCACCAAAAATTCAATAAACAAAAAAACATATAACATAAAATAATTATTATTAAAACGTGACACAAATAAAAGAACTCTACCTCGTTTACAGAGAAACCTTAGTTATTTGCATTCACTTGTTCCGTGTCTAGATGGAGTTGTCTTGTTCTAGCTACAAACGAAAAAAAAGATGCAAACTTTTCAATGGTAATTCGTTTCCAAGGTAATTAAACAGTAACCCTTTTTATAAAACCAGAAAAAAAACAATAAAAAACTCACACAGAAAGCAGAAAGATTTGAAAGCGTTTGGAATAAGAAAGTGAAAACTGTTGATAGTTTGACAGAAGAGAAGAGAAGAAGAAGAAAAAACAAGAGAAATGGTATTAAAAGAATAAAAATTTTGTGATAAGGGAATTAAAAAGAAAAGAAATTTGGATTTAGTAATAACAGTTTTGTCTTAGAGAAGAGGTGATTGGGTGGCGTTCGTTGGTGCCATGAATTAAAGGCAAAGGGCTATCAGAGTACGCCCAACTAACCGCCTCTGTTTCTCTGTTGACTCTCATATCTTTCTTTTATTTTTCCATCTCTTTTCTTCTCTTGCTCTATAAAAAATGGAAACCATGTCCCACGAATCCTTGGCGCGTGTAATATATCACTTCAATTTTAAACTAAACGACTATATACTTTAAAATATATATACATATAAAAAAAAAAAAAAAAAAAAAATAGTTTGTAAAATGAAGAGGGAAATAATATAACCCCCAGCAAACTTTAGTTACCAAACTTTGCAAAACTAAAGTTTGTTGGTTCTGAAATTATGTCAGCAAGAAAACTAATTTTTTTTTTTTTAATCATCGGGGCGTTCAAGTCAGCTTACGCACACCTCAATTAATCACTCTAAATCCTAAAAGTAACTATTATGTTGATATATCTAGAGGCAATACCAAAACTCTTAACGAGATGTTTATTTGTTATGTTGGGGTTCTAATAGTTAAATTTTAAAAACTCTCTCTCTCTCTCTCTCTCTCTCTCTCTCTCTCTCTCTCTCGCTCGTAATAAATATTCATTTTCTACTTAGTTAGGGTTCTGGGAACTTCAAAGCATGGTTATCAAATCGTGTATCGAAACCTAATTTTTTGAATCGTGTATCACGTATCGTATCGTATCGTAAAATATGCCTTTTTCAAAAAAATTAATAAATAATCAAAATTTTCTAAAAATTAATATATCCCCAAGATTAATTAAAATTTTTGTGGTATTATTGACTTAAATTACGGTATTACATAATCAAAATTAATCACAAAATTCTAAGATGAATGTCAATATCTATACTCCACTTATTTATTATTATCATGTAAATGGGCAATACATATTCCTCTTCACTTCCTCCATGAAAAAATAAGTAATTTTTGGATAGGTTTTATTGAATCGGTTGGGTGACCCAGGTTTGACCCGAATTTTTTTTGGACCTTTGGCTCAAATTAAAAGTCGTATTGATTTATACGATATTTTTAGGATACAAACGAATACGTATCGTATCGTAGGATACATATCAACGTATCTAATAGTTTAGGATACACTCTCTGATAGTATCGTTGGCGACCTGTATCGAATCGTACGTATGATACGTATCGGGTATCGTAGGATACTAACACCCATGCTTCTAAGTTGTAAGTTCCATGTTGGGGGATTTGGAGTTGGGACCCCTAGCTTTTGTGACAAATATCAATGTTTGTGTTGTATCATTATCAAGGGGATTTTTTAAAGTTGACATGACAATAAAATCATACTTATTTAGCATCAAAATGAGAATATTAAAGTATAATATTATGTATATTAACCCCAAGGGTTGGCTTGACGTCAAGTAAGTTTGTTTCATTTTTTGAGTTTGGGTTTAAATCTTGGGCTACCTACAAAATTATAGCTTACTTATCTTTGACTTACAGGGTATTCAATGACCCTAATGATAGTTAAGTGTGCACAAACTGGTCCGAACACCTGGTTATAAAAAAAGAAAATATATTATTCAGAATAGTTAAAAACTTCTCAAAATGTAATCTAAAAGGGAATCTAATAAACATTCTAACTCCATTTCAAAGAAGAAAGAACAGTAACACAACCATAGTTCCAATAGAATTACAAGTAATGAACCAATATTTCAAAGAACCCAATTGGAATTGAACAAAATTTCAACAAAAGGCAACGCCTATTTCAACCTCTTTACTACTACATTTCCCTATAATTGACAAAACCAAGTTGATAAAAGTAAACTGCTAATTGAGATGTAATTCAATGGTTGGATTTTAATTTAAGTAAATTTAATTGGGGTTTATGAATGTTTGAAACGGCATCTGAAACAATTGAAGAAGGGGGTTGTTTGATTTTTGAATAATAAATAGTTTAATATTTAAATTAAAAAAATAAAACAAAAAAGGGAATTAGTTGAGGATTGAAGAGTAGAAAGTTAGTTGGGGGGACACGTGAGAAGGTGGGTTGTACTTGTAACTTGTGTCTTGTGAGACTACTGAACTGAAATTCTAAGGGCTGTGACTGGTAGTTGTGTTCTGTTCCCTCACGTGCCATTTTATTATATTTTATTTTACCGGCTATTTCATGCAATTCAATTTTTCTCAAATTCAATGCATATAGTGGACTTTTCACATCAATCTAGAAAGTGGGCATGTCTCATTTTCTTTTTTTTTTTTAACTTACTGGAATAAATCTTATAAAGTAATATACATATAATTTTATTTTTTTTAATGATCGACCATCAGGGTATCCAGATAAACTTACACACATCTCAACTAGTTCTTGGGGACCAAAAAACTATCGACCGAGAAAGAACTCAAGTGACTACCTCTATTAGCATCCAAGGAAAGATTTAAACTCAAGATCTCTTAAGTAATATACTCAAAAGTCCTTATCGAATCACTTGATTATCCCAAAATAGTTACATACATACATACATATAAATTTTTACATGCAAATTGAATGAAAGAAGTTAAATAATTTATATTTTTAAAGTTATTAAAACATTATTATATGAAAACAAGATATTTGTCATTAGTGTATGGAGTTAGTAGTACCACCGGACCCATGAATCTGTATACTTATGAAAGAAAAATATAAAATAATGCAAGTGATGTAACACTACAAAGTAATGATTTTTATATTATTTATCATATTGTTTACCCATTACTTTATTAAAATTTTATAATTCTACTTAAAATGATTAAATTATTCGTACTAATATTTAGGGCATATGCCAGGTCATAACTTTTTTCGTATTTATTTAAATAAATAAATACAACAAAAGACCATACCTGGCAATAATATTACATTAATGCATTTATTGATAGGAAAAATAATTTTGAATTTCTTTACCAAACTTATTTTGAGTTAAATATGATGCCTATTCTGGACTTTAACATCTCATAGACAATAATATCATCTTTGAATCCGACACTTTCAATCATCACTAAAAACAATTGCCCATTTAATTTAATAAAACCTTGTCCGTACAACGTTGTATTCATGATTATAATTATGAGTTCAATTTATGATATTTATATTAAACTTTACTTTTGATTTTTTTTTTAATATATTTATGCAGTAATTTTACAAGTTTTGGCCATAATAGAACTTGCACAACTAATAAGTTTAAGGCTTAGTTTAAGATTTTCGTTGTTTTTCCTGTAATCATTTATGGGTTAATTTAAAAATACTCTATTAGGTGTTTTTTTTATTTAATTTTAAAATAACTTTTGATTTTAGGATATGAGATATGAACAGTACAAAAGATCATAATTTGTGTTTTTATTTAAATATATTATATTTTATATCTTAAACAAATTTAAAAAATAAAATATCCAAAAACTAGTTAACGCAATTGTCGACCAACTCTCAACGAGTGACATGACACCACCAAGTTTATCAAATCATCGATCGATGATCTATTCAATATGCCGACAGTTTTGGCCATAATAGAACTTGCACAATTAATAAGTTTAAGACTTAATTTGAGATTGTCATTGTTTTTCCTATAATCATTTATGGCTTAATTTTGAAAATACTCTATTAGGTGTTTGTTTTATTTAATTTTAAAACTACTTTCGATTTTCGGATATCAAATATGAACAATACAAAAAGATCATAATTTCTATTTTTATTTAAATATATTATATTTTATATCTTAAACAAATTTAAAAAATAAAATATCCAAAAACTAGTCGATGCAATTGTCGACCAACTGCCAGCGAGTGACATGACACCACCAAGTTTATCAAATCATTGATCGATGATCTATTCAATATGCCGACAGTTTTACCATATCAGTCTACGCTACACCGTAGTAGACAGTTGCGACACATCGTCACGTTATTTAAACAAACCATTTGCATTATTGCCTAGATCGCCAACCGACAATTATAACGGTGTCGTAGGTGTAATCACACTACCATTGAAATCCTTCAATAAAATAAATTATAGAAGAAGTAGATTGTCCCATAATTACTTTTAAAATGTGTTCACCAAACACATTTTAGATTATTGCTTGAGAAATAAATGATTATAAAAGAAGCTACAACAAGCCCTAACTCTTGTTTAAAGTGCATTTTGAAATAAATTCAATCATTATATTACAATTAATTAAAATAGCTTCTTAATAATTACTACTGTAAATATTAATCATCCTAAACTATAATTGAAATAAATAATTTATATTTAAAGTGCATTTTGAAAATAGTTTTTTAATAATTAAATTAATGAAAATACAAATATATTATTGGTATTCTATAGTTTTTTTTTTTTTTTAAAAAAACAAATGATTATACATGCTCCGTCAAATCTGTTGTATTAAACCGTCTATATTACTATAAAAAATAATTACACTTGGGTCTCGTTAAGATATGCGTAAGTTGATTCGAATATGGAAAGCGGAGTACAACAAATTTGAATCCTAATAAATGGATTGGACCAAGTAATAAATATTTTGGGACCATAAATTATGTAGTAATAACTTTTGGTAGCTGCGTACTGTTTGATGTTGAATCATGAATGTGCCAACAACCAAAAGCTCACTTCACCTAACACATTTGCATGCCAAGTATTTTCACATTTTATATCATATTTTCAGTTTATAAGTTAATCCCCTGATGTTTTATAAATAACCAAAATATCCTTGAAGTTGAGTTTAATACTAAACAATCTTGTAGGGAGGAAAATAAAATAAACCCATGACATAAATCTCTTTGCTTTTCAAGTTTTAGGATTTAAAAAAAGGACAAAAAGAAAATTCGATAGATATTTGTAAACTCATAACTCATAATAGTGTATATTCTAACAATTCACTAACATTCCATTGAAGAAGGGGAGTTTTTGTTGAAGAAAATTCGATAGATATTTGTAAACTCACAATAGTATATATTCTAATAATTCACTAACATTCCATTGACGATAAACTTCTTTTTGTTATTACATCAAACTTCAGGGTGCAATAATTTTTTTTTAAACTCTTATATTATTGTTAAGAGTTAACGACTTTTTTCCACCCAAATAATGGTTTAATGACACTTTTCCACACACAAACTTTTAAAATACAATTTTACTATCTAAATTTATATTCTGACGACGAACAGAGAGCAAACTTGATCTAGGTTGTTGAGGTTTTTGAAGAGAGAATGTCGATAAGTTTTTTGGTGGTGGAAGATTGGATTTTAGTAGTTAGGATTGATTGGAATTTGACTTGAGAGAGCTGGCTATGTAAACCCTAATTGCTCAATTGCAGAAGATGAGCGGGGTCAACAAGAGTAAGGTTTGAAAGAGTTTTGATAAGTGATGATTGAGAAAACAAATGATAATGGTATAGGCTCCGTTTGGTTCACAATTTTGTATTTTTGGGAAAAGTTTTTTGAAAAAAGTTAAAAAAAAAGTTGAATTGGACGAGTATTACGATGTAGGATTTACAAATTAATGAAATATCTCCTATGTTTGTTTTTTACAAAATACCCCCTATAATAAAACATTAAAAGTTAACAAAAACACCCCCAACCCACCCTCAAATACGGACAGCCGGCCACCACCGCCGGAGGGTGGCCGGAGTCGCCGTATCGACGCATGACCGGCTGGATCTTGCCGTTCGTGCACCGATATGGCCTTTTCCGGCTAGATCCGTGGTGGATCTGGCCGACAAAGGCCAGATCTACGGCTAGATCTGGCCATTGACGGCCAGATCTGGTCGTATTTGCTATTCAACGATGGCCAACAAACGGTCGTCGTTGATGGTCAACGACGACCGTTTGTTGGCCATCGTTACCGACTGGTTACTGCCAAAGATCTGGCCGTCAACGGCCAGATCTTTGGCCTTAGATCTGGCCGAAAAAGGCTAGATCGGCGCACTACCGGCCAGATTCAGCCGGTAGTGCGCCATCCTACCAGATTCTGATCATTTTCCGGCAGTGGTGGTCGGAATCTGGTAAATGTGGATTGTTGGAGTGTTTTTACAATTTTTTAAAAAATATTTAGGAGTATTTAATTAAATTAACAAATTTAGGGGGTTTAAAGAAAGTTGAATAATATTGGGAGTTTTTGAGTATTTTACTGTTTAACATTTTTAGGAATACTAAAAATAATATTCCTAAAATACAACCAAACGAAGTCATAGAGTTGCAATAATACCGAAATCAAAAACTGAATATAAATACGAACAATAAAATGATATTTTAAAAATTTAGAAAAAAATAAAATAAAATAAAAAATGCCATTAAGACATTAATTGGGTGGGAAAAAGTCGGTTACTCTATTGGTAATTCGGTCTCTGGTCCCTAGGCCTTGGTACATGGCTTCTTGTTTTTGTAGTTATCTGTCTTGTCTTATACACCCAACATGTTCCTAGATTCTATTAAGCTAATTTGCTGCTTTTTATACCCTTCCCGTTTGTCAGGAGCATCAGTCCTCTTTCTATTTTCACTAAATCTTTAGACAGGTTTCACAACCAATCTTGACTCACTTTGACTCAAATCTTCCTGGTTTGAATAATACTATCTCACCATTTAAATTAAAAATAAATTGAAGTGGATAATATAACATGTATCTAAAATTATCATGTGATATTATTCTTATATTTTGGTAAAGAAATTTAATAACAAATACAATCAGGATTTATCTGATTCAAGTATTATTCATCAAATATATCAATGAATTATTTAAAATTTTACGAAATTCTTTTCTACTGAATTCCAACAAAAAAAAAATAACCTTGGACTATGCTATGCGACCATTGAAACGACACTAATATCACAATACTGGCCTTCGATTCTCAATCTTACAAGTTTCTGTCCCACACCTGCCTAAGTATCTTCAAAGATTAATTTGTTCAACTCCTACATACAAGATGTACTCCCTTTACCATGTAATGACAAAATGTTTGTGATGAAGGTAAAATACATTGTTTTCAAACCTGGACCGGACAACCTCCAATCGGGACCTGACAACCTCTCGGTTGAGTTACCATTTTTTACTATTTACCAATCCCTAATTGATAGCTGGTGAACGAGGGATTACTAGTGCGAGGTTAGAGGACTTTATAAGTGAAGGTAGTGGTTCAAAGGGTGAATCAGATTGAATTTTGCGGAATAAACCGAAATTTACAAAAAATTCAACCAATATGGGAGTCAAGACCGACGAAAGAGGGCTACCAAGTGCTAGGGTTAAAGAGTTTTTCAGAGTGGAGGTCGATGGTTTAGGTGGTAAGTTTGATTGAATTTTGGAGTCAAATTGGCCAAAAAAATAAACCAATCAAGACGTTATACACAAGTCATAGTCGACAAACGAGGGGCTACCAAACTTCGGGTTAGAGGAGTTTTGTAGAGGATGGTGGTTAAGTGGTGGTGTCGGATTGATTTTGGCCGACGGAATCAGCCGAAATTTGGCCAGAAAGTCAAAACCCAATGATAACAGGGTATATTATTATTTCAAACCGAGTTTGATTCGTGAGTTTTGAAGGTGTGTTTGCAAGATTTTAAACTTTTTGGACATCGAAACCATCGGTTAACCGGTCAGACTGGTACCCGATGGCCTACCGAGTCCCTTAATGGGTCAGTTTAAAAACAATGGTAAAATATCATCTTGTTGGATACTGATGTGAATTTTAGTACTACAACTATATTTAGAATATAAAACTCTTAAGATAAAAGGTGAAAAAGATTTCAATTGAAATCAATCCTAATTCTAAAATAAACTAACCGGACGAAATTAAAAGATAATTAACCGAACTCAATTCATTTTCTCCTGCATCAAGTGATAATATGAGAACGAACTATATTCCTCCGGGAAGAGCTTAAAACTGACAAGTCCATAGGAAAAAAAAGAGGGGTCTTATAAATATTCTATTGCTTTACCAGGTTTAAGAAGACCAACACACAAAGTAAAAGGGTTTTAACTGAAGACGGTTGCCCCTTTTAAGAGGGGTCGCCTTACTCTACAAGTAACAATTGAAGTCCACAACAATAAAATACAGTTCAAAATGTCTAGATAGCATTTTCAAACAACTTTAAGAACAAATTCTTTCTCTGAATGCTTGGGAAACGTTTACTTGATGCACATTTTACTGATAAAAAGCAGATAAAATCTGTGCACAATGTCAGGAGGAGGGTTGAGCTAGCTGTCTGCGTCCCTGCTTGTGTTCTTGTTTGCAGTCTGCCGCACAAATTGTCCCAGTCGTTGTTCTGCTAGCCTCTTCCTACTTTGGTACCGAACCTGCAAATAATAATGATACAAAAATTATAAACTCAAGTTCTCAAGGGAATAAGAATTCATGATATTACTGACAGACAGGAAATAGGTTGCTTTTAATTGCTCAATAGTGTACTTTCTGAAAAGGTTTGATGAAGTAAGATCTGCATCACCTGTATCACTTGCTAGAGTTTTGAATAATAAATTAGTCATAGCAACATTCAATCCCACAATCAATGAGCAAAGAGGCAAATGCGAGCAACTCACCATGCACAGCAAATAGCAAGGTTAATAAAGCCTAGGATAAACTACCCCTTGAAAAGGCATGTAACCACCAGAGAACCAATAGACTACCACTATACTTCACAGCATATGAAATTCTTCGATCATCTCATGAAAGTGGCAACTTCAAAAATCCATGTTTTGAATTCTCATTGCCAATCAACACAGGAGAAAGAAAAATGCCAATAGCTTAATTAAAAATAAGATGCAGAAAGAGAAGAGAAAAAGGACAAAAAGCATGGATACAAATGAAAAAACAGAATGTTATCAAAGAGATGAGAAAACAAAACCCAAATGAAGGAATAAAAGCAACTAAATATCAGGTACCCTTTTCCGATAACATCTCTCCTTTCTCTTCTGGCGAAACTTGGTCAAGGCAGCTTCCCTCTGGCTGAACTTATTTTGATCAACTCTGCTTCCACTGCCACTGCCACTGCCAGTCCCACAGCCACTGCCACTTGCATCGCCACTTTCACTTTTATCAGCAACCCCGTTATCACTTTCTATGTTCATCCCTCCTGCATTCATAGCAGTACTGCTCCCATTTTGCCCATTGCTCCCGTGGTTACTGCCTGAGGTACTTCCATTGACACTGTGATTTCTAGCATTACCTTCAACTAGTCCACCCAACGCATTGGATGACCCACAATGTGGAACAGTTGCAGCCATTTTCTTTAATGATAAAAGATCATGGTCATGTGGCAGCTGTTGCTGTTGCAGGTTGTAGATAAGATGGTGACAGTTATCATAATGGTGAGTGAGGTGCTGAATTTGGAGTTCTTGGTCTTCGTCCCACGGTTGAGCCAAACTTGAGGCAGCCATCACACTCTCCCCCTTATCTGATGCAACATGGTGAGGGCCACATAAATGGTTATTTTTCATAGGCTGGAAAGGATATGATTGATTCAAACGGTTGATTGTGGATGAAACTTCTGATTTATTCTTCAGAAGCACTGGCTTAATAAAAGCATTATTAGTGGTGGAACCCAAATCCATGTTGTTGCTACCTGCATTTAAGGACTGATGGAGAATATCCCCGCTTGAATGAGATTGAATATCACAAATTGCTCCCTTTTTGGCTACTTCTAAGCTATTGTCAACCTGAGAAGCACTTGCAACATTCCCGCCAGGACCCTTATTTGTATTTGAGGTCGCATTATACCTGCATAGAGACAATCTTCACATTATGAGCAAAACTACTCAGGGTTTAACTATTATGGATATGACATTTGTTCCAGAGCTCAAATAAAAATTACAGGTCCTTATCACTTATACCTGGAAAAGGCTGAAGAGTCAGAACGTCTCAAGACATTACGGTCAACCTGAACTGTCATCCCAATGTCTTTGACTCCTCTAAGTCTCTTTAAACTGAGCTCAAGGGATGGTAGTTCTACGGAATCCTTTATCACTTTACTGTTGTCATCTAGGATCTCGGAAATTCTATTTTGGGCTTCATACTCTGCATTATTCTTCTCAGGATCAGTAATCTTGGTGATGACGCCTATTAGATTAGCAGCTTCATATTTCATTTTGCTGGATGGACTCTCACTCTTTAGGTCCAGCTGTCCTCTATCAATTGGCTCAAAAAATTTACTAGAGTCCACCTCAAGGTGATTATTTTGTTTTGTGCCAACACATTTGATTGGAACCTCACTTGAGTACTCAAGTTGTAAATCTAGACCTCTATGCACACCTAAATTTAGGTCTCTGCCCATTGAAATATTGTCTGAAAATTTTTTATTAAAAAAAAAGAAGAGAGAACGAATATTTTTCACCACGAAAAGAAGCTGAAAAGCATAGATAAAGAAAGTATTAAAGATCCAAATATTTTCATGCATACCAAGTTTTTCCTCATGTTCATGGCACTCCTCTGCTTCAGTCACAGGGATCCTTCTATTATCAGATACTTCAGCATTTAAGTGGATAACTTGGGCACAAGTACTATCAGGGCACTCAGCGACTTGACCACATGGTGAAATGGGTCCGGGACCATCGAATTTTACTTGTTTAGTCCAAGAGCTCTGCAAAATGAAATAATACTTTTCCAGTGCCTCCAAGAGACCAATTTGTATTAACTATTTGTTCTAATAACTTTGAGATGAATTCGGGTTTTGCAGACCCTCACAAAAGCTCAAACATAAACTCATCAATATTGCAGTCTCATAAAAAGAAGTCTAATTTATAACACAGTGGACAAGCCAAGTAAACTTTTGGCTACTAACCCTCTTCATATATGAAAAACCAGAGGCTGCATAAAGAAGAGCCTGAAGCAAATTAAAATGAAAAAACTTATATAATATTTTATCTTTATATGAAAAAAATTGAAAATGAAATTATTGATGATTGTGAAATCAATCAGTGCATATTTAGATACATCTGAGAATAGAGGTATTAAAATTAAACCAATGACAGCTTTAACAAAACCAGTTGGTCTTCTGCACTATATGGAAAAAGAGATTAGATGACAGGTATAAACCACACATGAACTTCTAATTATTTCATGGACCCATAGTACCTGAGTACCGCTCCCATCATCACTTCCATCCCCAACATTTAAACCGATGCTCCCATTATCTTCCTCATCATTGCTACCTGTGTTGTTGTCTGATTTTTCAACACTTTTTGATTTTACAGATTTTTGAGTTTGTGTGCCACTTTCGCTTCCACTACCACTAGACTGAAAGAGGCTAAAATTAGTGATAGAAGAAAGAAAGGTATAATATTTGAAATGTAATCTGAAATTAGAAGTACATTTAACCACTAACCATGAAGATAAAACAATAAGTATAATCTTGGAAATATAATGTTCTCTCAAAATTTGTGAAGCTGTCAAGTAGATGAGGACCCTATATCTCGTTACAGCAGAAACTAGAATGTCTATGTCTGAAGCAGAAAGTTTTACTTACACTATGGCATCTTCTCCAAACATGCTGCCAAAGGTTCTTAAGCTCATTCTTTCGTATAGGCTTCACTAAAAAGTCGACAGCACCTTTCGAAAAACACTTAAAGACCAAACTTATGGAGTCAAGAGATGACATCACTGCACACAGATCTCACCAGAAGTAGTAAAAATGTATCTAATCGGACAATATTAAGGAAAAATAATCATAAATTACCAATTAAATAATTGATAAAATGTCAACTGAATTCAGTGGTAAATTAACATAGAAAAAAGGACGGAACTTACTAATTACAGGAACATTTTTGCGTGTTTTGTGGTTCATAATCTTACACAAAAGACCAATTCCTGATAAGCAAGGCATTGCTACTTCAGTTAAGACAATGTTAATATGATTGGTCAAATCCTCCAATATCTTCCATGCTTGTAATCCGTTCGTTGCTTCAGTAACTGGAAATATTAAAATGAATGTTGTAGTTAACAAATAAAACAGATAGGAAGTGTGAACTGGAGAAACAATAAATATCGTGTCAAATGATTAGCAGATACATAGTTTTGAGAAACTTTTTTCCACCGGCATATAGAAGTATCACAGAGAAGCTAAGCAAGAGGCTGTTGTGATGCAATGAGTATAATTATGGCCAAATAAACAATAATAAGACTTGGAGTAATGTATTTTGCAGCTAGGCCTAGCATAGTTTGACAATTTGAGCTCATGAATGTACAGACTTAGATGTCATCCTCATCTAAGCCTAAACAATTCTATTAATAGCCCTAGATATAATTCCTAAAGGTTACACTGTATAGTTTCTTCAATACAGAAATTCTAAACTCTTACATTTCTATTCTTCACTTCTCTCTTTCTTCTATCTTCTTTTATACTTTCTATCTCATTTCCTCTCCTTTCTCTCTATTCCTCTTATTGAAAAGAACAACATTGCAAAGACAATAACTCAAAAAGTGGACAGTTCCTCAAAAATGTAACAAGCTCAAGATTTAACAATTGATCCTGCTCAAATAAAATTAGCCAAAACATAAAATAAAAAAATAGCATGTGATAAAAATGATAAACATTTGCATGTACAAGATCACAAGAGAACATTTATATGATAGCAAGAGCTTTAGATATATGTTTGTGGGTACTAGCTAATTTGGTTAGTTAGTTAGTTAGGTCTCTTGGGATTATACAACAGGTCTTGAGATCGAATCTCGCTCACACCAAAGTGAGAAGGGTTTGGTTTAATTTGCAAGTGTGAGGTATTTGTTAATATAAAATCAAAGTATAACTTAGTCTCAAACACCAGGCCTTCAACTATCAAACAAGACTCAACATAACATGTACTAAATTACCAACCTTCATAACTGCAATTGCGCAGCAGCGCAGCTACAACATAGCGTGTAGAATCGTCATTCTCCACAAGCAGAACCTTGAGGGATCTCAAATGGAGAAACCGCTCCCAACAAACCATTGCCGCTTGAGGCTGTTGCTGTGACACTTGCAGCACAGCCGATGCCTGAACAGTCCCTCCACAGCCATCTTTCACATTCTCAGCATTCTTATTGTCTTTCAACTGACCGTCATCATGCGATCCTTGTTCACCCACAACCATATCTCTCTTGCTCCCATCTTGCAAATGATGATTTAGTTCCTGCAACTCTTTGTCCCTGGTGCCATCAACTTTCATCTGGACACTCCCTGTCAATCAGATTCAAAAAGACTGATAATAATGAAGGTCCAAGATCATAACAGTGAAAAACCTTCTTCAAACCGCGAAACAAATAGCACATATCTTCCTCTTCAAAAATCCAACCTAAGTAAATGCACACAGCTCAATTACAAGCCTGGAATCATGGCGTATGCAATGACACAAAAATCAGGTCTATGAGTATATTTACACAAATGCCACCAATAAGTCAACTTGTGCTTAATCAGTTCCTCCGAAACAAATAACCTGCTTCTCCCCTGTTAGAACAGAGTGGCCTGTGAGAAAAAATAAAATCAATCTCAACCAAACCAGAGAACCACTAGCAGTTACTTTCAGGGAAAAAAAGCAAAACAAAACACTCAGAACCGCAAAAACAATCTAAAAGAGAGCACAAAAACTACAATTCTAATTCCTAAAATCAACCAAAACTTCAAAATCTCAAAGTTACTAGTATAACCGAAATTACATAAGCATGGATCAATACCCTACTCTCAAAAGTCAAAAGATAAAGAGAATCGACTATCACATCAATTTAGATCCACAACATAATGAAAACCCAAAAAAAGCATCAATCAAGCACTAGTCTCAAAACTTTCAACACAACACATAATCATTAATATCTCTTCAACAAAACATAACCAAAACTTAAAGAAAGGAAATCAAATAAGCTCACCACTGATGGTAATGAACTGAAATTCAAAACATTAAAAAATCAGACTCTAAAATTTCGAAATTTTAAAAATTATAACTATAGATATTACCTCAAAAGCTTCGTTAACCACCGTTAATGAGCTCGATTGAGCCGAAGTGTACTTGAGTTATAAACATTGCAGAGAACAAACAATAATGTCAAAGCATGATTTTAATTTTAATTTTTTTTTCTTTTTTTTTTTTGAAATGATTGCGGTCAAAAACAGGCGGACTAAGAAGAGAAAAAAATGGGCGACCTTTTGTTTAGGGGGAAACAACGAAGCTACGGATACCGAAAAACTTACACCGAAATTATGTACTGGCCTACGTATATTAGGGGCATAAATTTTTTATCATTTTTTTTTCTAATGAATGGTCATCCATCAAATTTGGACGACCGTTCACTCACATAAACTCTCGTCCATACTATATGGTCAGGGGTCCATAAACCAGGGACGACTGTCCCCATTTAAAGAACGACCATTCCTGAATAAAATACAATAAAAAAATTTTTTAAACATTAAGGACGACCGTCCATCCATTATGGATGGGTGTCCCTTTATTTTGGATGGGCGTTCGTAAATAAGGGACGCCCGTCCTTAATCAAAATATGAAAATAAAAATAAAAATAAAACTTTGGGGACAGTTTGGACTGGTGTCCATTAGGCTTACATTTGGATGATTAGAAATAGACGCCCGTCCATACTTTAAAAAAAAAAAAAAAAATCTAAACCTCTTCTTTTTCGTCTTCATTCCCCATCTCCTTTGTTTTTTTTCTTCAGTCTTCATTCCCCATCTCCTCTCTTCTTCTTGTCCACTTTACGCTTCCAGCAAATAATCCATAACATGGAAGCAATCATCAACATTAACTGCAGATTATATAGGCACACTCTGTCAACATCCTATATCAGTTCTTTGTGAAAGAAGAACAGAACCTAGAAAGATCCAGTCTCTATCCACAACTTCTTTATCCAAACTCTCAACTTCTCGAGAGTCTTTAACAAGGAGCGTTCATGGGGGTTTAGTGCTAGTATCTGCAGTTCTTGGTACTGGTTTAGCTAAAGCTTTAACATATGAAGAAGCACTGCAGCAGTCAACAAGTTCTTCCACATCCGATGTTGATGTAAGTGGGATTCTTGATAGCGTTATCAGTTTTGGAACTGATAATCCTGCAATTATAGCTGGTGGCGTTACCATTTTGGCAGTTCCATTGATTTTGTCTCTGGTTCTAAAGAAGCCTAAACCATAGGGTGTTGAGTTTGCAAAAACTGCTTATGCAAAGATAGGTGAAGATGGGAGTGCCCAGTTGTTGGATATAAGACCTCCATCGGAGTTTAGCCAAGTGGGTTGTCCGAGGTTTGGGTAAGAAGCATGTATCAATTGTTTACAAAGGTGAAGATAAGCCAGGGTTCTTGAAGAAGCTGTCTTTGAAGTTCAAGGACCCAGAAAATACTACATTGTTCATCCTAGACAAGTAAGTGGACGGTATTTATCTCTTTAAATTTCGAATAATGCATGCTCCAATGATTGAGTAGTACTTCACATATGATTTCATTACACGTAAACAGCTACAAAAACATACAAATTCAAAATAAATTAAATAGATTACAACAGACAATGAGACAATCACATAATAATGGCAAAACCGTTTGTATAAAGATTGCAAATTTTGTAGTTGATAGAGTGTGCCTATATAATCTGCATTTAATGTTGATGATTGCTTCCATGTTATGGATTATCTGCTGGCAGCGTAAAGTGGACAAGAAGAAGAGAGGAGATGGGGAATGAAGACGAAAAAGAAGATGTTTAGAATTTTTTTTTTTTTTTTTAAAAGTATGGAAATGGACGCCCGTCCAAACATACGGAATGGACGCCAATCCAAACATAAGGGACGGTCGTCCAAAATTTATGGACGGCCGTCCCCAAAGTTTTTTTATTTTTTTTTTATTTTCATATTTTAATTAAGGACGGGCGTCCCTTATTTGCGGACGCCCATCCAAAATAAAGGGACGTTTGTCCATAATGGATGGACGATCGTCCCTAATGTTTAACAAATTTTTTTATTGTATTTTATTCAAGGACGGGCGTCCTTTAAATGGGGACGGTCGTCCTTGGTATATGAACCCCCGTCCATATAGTATGGACGGGAGTCCATGTGAGTGAACGGCTGTCCAAATTTGATGGACGACCGTTCACTAGAAAAAAAATTGATAAAAAATTCACGCGCCTAGTACAGATAGGCCGGTACACAATTTCAGTGCAAGTTTTTCGGTGTCCGTAGCTTTGTTGAGGGGTAAATGGAGGAGAAGAGGGGAGTCGAAGGTTGGTGACGTGGAAAAAATGGAGGCGTTAAACGTTCGAGAAAAATTCTATGTAGGATTCAGGAATTTCCACGTGGCAAAAAATTATGGGGCCATGAATTTCTGAGCTGGAGGAAATCAAAAGCAGTGAGTTCAAGCGTGTTATAAAAATCTCTGGAGATCTTGCAGATCTGGTGAGTGACACGTGTCGGGATTAGAGGGAGGGAATAATGAAGGCAAATGTGGGTTCTTGAGGTGTTTTTGTCAATTTCTAAATTTTTTTTTTTTTTGGATGTTTAGTTAAATTAACAAATCTAAGAGGTTTAAAAGAATTGAATAATATAAAATACTATTTTGAATTGTTTGGATTAATATACCAATTTTATTGTTTGACTTTATTGGGAAAAGAGTGAACCAAAGGGGCCCTATAATGTTTGGTCGGTCTGTGAATTAAAGGAAGTCGTCACTGCGTTTAAAACTGCGTAAATTGACAAATGACAATAGCGACCTTGCTGTCTGCGTGTTGGTATCTAATTGGCGGTCAAAAACAGGGGAAAATATCTAGGTGACTTGTTACAGTGTAGCTCAAGCACTTCTAGTCCTCTTGTCAGGTTAACCATAAGAATCCAAATAGAGAGAGTTTAGACTAGGGGTGAGCCGTTTCGAGTATCCTATATTTTTTGAGGGAACCGAAATTAGAATGACACAGTACATGTTCTTAAAAAAAAGAATCGGAAACGAAACTGAAACTGCACAGTAGAGATTCTTAAATTCAAGGAACTGGAACCTAAAATGTAGGTTTTGGTTCCTTTTCCGGGTAACCTATAAAAAATCAATTACCCCTATTAGTTTAAAAAATAATAAAAATACCTTAAAAGTTTACAAATACACTCCTAAAAAAATTTGATTACTCATTTATTTGTGCCCAATGTGACTCATAAATCCTCTAATCTCTAGGCAATGCTTAAATTCAATCAATTCACATAAAATTCCTCAATCAAAACCAAAACACAAACAATTAATTAAATTAATTAAACAATCTTACTATAAATCTATAATTTAATATTATAATTAATTAAATTTCTGCTCATTTAATTAAGTATTGTATTAATGTTTATAATTGAATATTATAATAATTAAGTAATCATACTATAAATCTATAATGTAATGTTAGAATTAATTAAGTAATTATTTAATTATAATGTAATATTTTAATTAATTAAATTTTTAATCATTTAATTAGGTAATCATTTGTTTATAACGTAATATTATAATTAATTAAGTAATTATATTATAATTTTATAATGTAATGTTATAATTAATTAAATTTCTATTCATTTAATTAACTATTATGCTAATGTAATAAATTACTAATGTTTGTAATATAATGTCATAATTAATTAAATAATCATTTAATTATGTAATGTTATAATTAATTATGTGATCATATTATAATTAATTAAATTTATAATCATTTAATTAAGTATTGTACTAATGTTTATAATGGAATGTTATAATTAAATGATTAATCATTTAATTAAGAAATAATTTGTTCATAATGTAATGCTATAATTAATTAAGTAATCATACTATAAATTTCTAATTAATTAAATTTCTAATAATTTAATTAAGTATTGTGCTAATATAGTAAATTACTTATGTTTATAAAATAATGTCATAATTAATTATGTAATATTATAATTAATTATGTGATCATACTATAATGTAATATTATAATAAATTAAGTAATCATACTATAAATTTAATGTAATATTATAATTAATTAAATTTTTAATTATTTAATTAAGTACTGTACTAATGTTTATAATGGAATGTTATAATTAATTAAGTAATCATTTGTTTATAATGTAATGTTATAATTAATTAAATTTCTAATTATTTAATTAAGTAATATACTAAATTACTAATGTAATGTTATCAACTTATAATTAATTAAGTAATTATTTAACTATAATGTAATGTTATAATTGATTAAATAATCATTTAACTAGTAATGTATTAATGTTTATCAATATATCATATATAATTAATTAATTACTAATTTACTACAGATATACTTAGAACTTATAATTGAAGTAAATAACTAAATATTATATTATTATTCAATCAAATATACTATTTTATTCAAAAATAATTCTTTTAATAACATTAAAACACTTTTAATTTGTCCTAATTCCAATTATATGCTTAATTAATCAAAACTTTAATATTAATATATTATAAAGTAAAACCTCTCTATAGTGATACTCTATATAGGAATAAACTCTACATAGTCATAAAAAATTATAGTCCCAATTTGGGATAGTTATAAATAAGAATAAACTCCACATTATAATAAGTTATAATTTTTCTAATTCCCGTCTTAAGGAAAGTTACCTCCACATAGTAATAATTATTTGTATATTGCAAAAAAATATATATATGTTACGTTACATTAAAGGTTTAAAATGAAATAAAATATAGCTTAAGCCTGTATCAATTGTTTACAAAGGTGAAGATAAGCCAGGGTTCTTGAAGAAGTTGTCTTTGAAGTTCAAGGACCCAGAAAATACTACATTGTTCATCCTAGACAAGTAAGTGGACGGTATTTATCGCCTTAAATATCGAATAATGCATGCTCCAATGATTGAGTAGTACTTCACATATGATTTCATTACACGTAAACTGCTACAAAAACGTACAAATTCAAAATAAATTAAATAGATTAAAACAGACAATGAGACAATCACATAATAATAGCAAAATCGTTTGTATAAAGATTGCAAATTTTGTAGTTGACAGAGTGTGCCTATATAATCTGCAGTTAATGTTGATGATTGCTTCCATGATATGGATTATCTGCTGGAAGCGTAAAGTGGACAAGAAGAAGAGAGGAGATGGGGAATGAAGGCAGAAGAAAAAGAGAGGAGATGAGGAATGAAGACGAAAAAGAAGAGTTTTAAATTTTTTTTTTTTTTTTTTTTAAATATGGACGGGCGTCCAT